TCTGGAGTTTCTGTTTCTTAAAGGCTGCTTTTCTTTGCGCTTTAGTGTCTTGTCTCTGTTGATATATTTCTAAGGGTGTCGGTACATTCATATCTGTGTCAAGCAAGTTCGAAATCGATTGCAGCGAACACTGCCCAACACTTGCTCTATTGTTATGTTGTTTTCGAGAGTGGAACTGCTGCCTCTCCAGAAACACATCGAAAGTGAAATTCTGAGTGGTGGCAGAACAAAGACAATTAAATCATGTCTGAGATTCTCAAAACACTTACTGTATTCAAAGCATTAACTTAGCATCCTTTGCCTTAAAGCAATTTTTTTTTAAAGATTTTTATTTATTTATTTGACAGAGAGAGATCACAAGTAGACAGAGAGGCAGGCAGAGAGAGAGAGAGAGGGAAGCAGGCTCCCTGCTGAGCAGAGAGCCCGATGCGGGACTCGATCCCAGGACCCTGAGATCATGACCTGAGCCGAAGGCAGCGGCTTAACCCACTGAGCCACCCAGGCACCCCCAAAGCAATTTTTAATTGACGGACCATTTACTCTTAGCTGGGGACTGAGAGGCAAATACACATTTTTTTCTTTGCAGTGTTAAAATCCAAGTACTCAGTGAAAAAGCGTCGCTTTCCAGTTTAGGAATGACCCTCGGCCTTAGGAACTTCTATCTGAGTATTAGGAAGTACTTGGTGGAGTAGATTTTTGTTAACAAAATGAATGAGATTATTTCATGGGAGCAAAGCATTGACTAGGAAACATACATAGTGAAATGTTTTCCATTAAAATATAGTTATTACTTTATAATCTAATAAGAGAAAATTTCTTCAACTACCTCATTATGGGTAGATGAGAAAAAATGCACAGATCATAGGTGCTCAATATTAGTTTGCATTTTATGGAGAATCTGAAATATTCTGGGCTATTCCATTAGTGTGGTTATGTAAGGAGACAGAGAAGAATTTTAGGTCATTGCCAAGTCTCCAGGATACTTGAATCTGGGCACCAGCAAGATGAGTGTGGAAGTCTGTATGGTACTTCTTGGAAGGTCCCACTGACAACACCGAGGACCAAGGCCACAGGGGTGTGTGGCTCTGTTGGTGGTATACAGATTTGTCTCTTCATTTATGTTCTGCAAGATTTTAAGTTAGCTCCTTGAAAGAGCCTTTCTCTGAAAAATGGGGTATCCTCAGAATCTTAGATGGTCACCGCTGAAGGATACCCCGGGGATATTCTTCCAAGCGAACTCGTTGGGTTGCAGAGTTAGAGTAGCTGGGAACTTCTGCACTCCTGATAGACTTGCAACTCTGTGCAAGTCAGAGGGACTCGGACTCCTCAGTACAGATACACCAGAAGCCCAAACATGAAGAGATATTTATACACGGAGTCAGCTTCTGCAGCAGATGCTTTCACTGAGAATAGACTTTCTGCCTGAGGGTCTCTGCAGCGCTACATCGCAGATCATCTCTTGAAAACAAGAGAGGTGCAGGTCTTTGTACGTGAAATGCCAGAGGAAGGGAAAAGCATTGATTTGCCAGATGAGTGATTGTTTTCCTCCCACTGAAGGAGGGATTGGAGCCCTGAAGTCATGGATATGGCATTGAACCATATGAGGATTTCAGGGCCCTCCCACTCACAGAATTTATTTATTTTTAATGTATTCATTTATTTATTTGACAGAGCACAAGCAGGGGGAGAGGGAGAGGGAGAAGCAGGCTCCCCACTGAGCAGGGAGCTGGACATGGGGTGGGGGTTCAATCCCAGAACCTTGAGATCATGACCTAAACCGAAGGCAGATGCTTAACCGACTGAGCGACCTGGGCGCCCCTCACTCACATAATCTAAATGGAGGCTATAATTTTAGGAGATACATTTATAAATGAAAACTCAAATATTCGCAAGAATCCCCTTCCCGATGGCCTACAACCAAGATTTTAAAACTAATGAAATCCTGAGCCTTTTATTGAACTGCATCAAGAGCAGATGAAAAAGGCAAAAAAACAGAGAGAAACCAAGATTCCTTTTTTCTTTTTCTGTGTGTGTGTTGATGTGGCTATGTATGTATGCGTTCCCTTATTTGCTTAAACTGTTTGACATTTAACTGTAGATATCATGACATTTCACCCTGAATACCGCGGCAGGTGCCACCTAAGTGTAATTGCAACACAGTGCCCACACTTGAGAAATTCCATGATGATACAATACCTTGATTCAGGTTTCCCCACAAGTCCCAATAACAGCTTTCAGAGAGTTCCGGTGACTCAGGAGTCAGTGACAGCTACACAGTGTAAGCTACACGTTGGATGTATTTGTCAGGTCTTTTAATCACCTTTCATCTCCATCAGTGCTCAGGCTCGGTCTCCTGTGATCATTCGTGACATCAGCACTTCTGAAGTGTAGACCAGTTGTTTCGCAGAATATCCGACCATTTGAATTTGTCTGATTGTTTTCTCACATTTGAAACCCAGATTCTAAATAAATAAATCATAGATAGGTAGATAAAGAGACAGGAGGGGAAGGAGAGGTGCGACGGAGAAAGGGAATGCGAGAAAAGGAAAAAGATGCAAATGATTTGATGAAAAATTGTCCAATTCGACCTAAATAATACAAAGTCTGGCAGGTTTCTTTGGAGACGGTATTGATAAGCAGTGGTGTGGAGTGGTGGGTGAGGGGACACGGTGCTTATGGAGAGTTAAGGATTTCTGAAATACTGCGGTGAAAACATTTTGCTGCGAGGCAAGGGAATAAACCTTGAGAGTTTGGGTTGTGTGCCAAGTTAAATGGAAAACTCGGAAAAAAAAATATCAAACTAGTTCTTTTAGTTTAATACGTGAAATAACAAGGCAATTTATTTTTCTCAATATACATAAGCCGGTTTCTTTGGTGCCATTTAGCTCCAGCAAATCTGTTCCTTCAGAACCCTCACTGGGCTGAACAAGATCGAAGATGATCTTAAGGAGTTAATGAGACCATGCGGACACAATTCCAGATAGACGAGAATTTAGTCTGTTTTTAAAAACCTCCGAAAGAGAGATTCACAGACCCCATCTTAAAGAGAAACTCCTGTAAAATCTGTTCAGAAGTAAACCTTATTTTCAAGCTGTCAGAAAACAAGAACCAGACAAAATCAACAGGTACCAAAGGCAAAGAACAGGTGAAATGAGTTTTCTACCTTGTCCCTGGGTGTGCGCCTCAAATGTCTGCTTCCCCATCGCATCTCCTAGTCCCTAAGTAAATAAAAAGGGGACGTGTAATTTTAGGAGCACTGCTGAGACATCACAATGTTCAAATGTTTTTTTGCTATAATTTGTAGGAACCTTCCTACGCTTATTCCTGACATTTTTTTGATTTACTTGGTAAGGGCAGAATTGTAGAAAAGCAAACAGACCCTGAGTAGGAAAGGCACTTCATTTCCTGCTCGTGTCTGATGTGGCTCTGATTGCTGTCCTTGGAGTCCTGGTCACCATACCCAGTAAATAATTATGCCCTGGATCAGGGAGGGGCGGTCTTAATTTGCCGTGGGTTTGTTTTTCGGGATTTTCTGTTAAAACCTGGACTGGAGCAGAAGTGGACTTTGTAGTTGGCTTCTCTAAGCCTCGGTGGAAACAAAGTTGTTTGAGAGCTCGGGTTCTGTGATGTTGATTATTAAGTGAACTGTTGTATGCAGAGGAAAGTCCATTCATTATGCTCTTATTTTTTTCTTTTTCAAAAGCTTTTATTATGACAAAACCAGGCGTACTATATTGAATCTTTGGTATCCCCAAACACCATGTATACCTGTTGCTTGACTTCTGCAATGACCCAACTAACTAATCAGGAAATTTGTTTCATTTTTATGTCTGTCCATTCCCCACTACCATTTTATTTTGAAGCAAATCTCAGGTTTTATAACATTTTATCCATAAATATTTAAATAGAGAAATGATACTCTTCTAAGCAGTCCTGCTGAAAATAAGAATGGTATATAGGTGTTCCATGTATTCTACAGGCTAACGCACAACTTCAGTACTTCCTGTCTCTATGGAGAAGCTATGGAAGAGCTAAATGCAGTCAAACTGACAATTTGACAGGAGCATAGTAGGCATCTAGAATGGTCATTCATTGTAGGACAGCAACTTTAGTTCCAATAAAAGCGTTGTTGCCAAAGAATTTCTGTCTTGAAGAAAGGAACATTGTTAAGAGGGATGAATTCTCTTTGTTCCTTGGGCCACCTCTGATGATAGCCTAGTCTGAGTGACTCTCCAGAAACATTAGAACCATGGAAAGTCAGTCACTTACCCATCTCTGCAATTAAACTTCCCCATTTAAAACCTGGTTATGAGGACTGCTGTATCTAGTTACAGAATTAGGATGAAGATAATTTGTGATCTGAGATGTGAACGTGCTTTAAAAATAATGGCCTGTATATTATACACTGAAACTCAAAGAACATTGTTAACTATATTGGAATTTAAACTAATAATAATAATGGTGATGATGATGGCCTGGTTCATAGTCTCCCTTAGCATAGTGTTGTTGTTTCTTTTTAAAGATTTTATTTATTTATTTGACACAGAGCAAGAGACCACAAGGAGGCAGAGAGGCAGGCAGAAAGAGGGAGCGGGAAGCAGGCTCCCCGCTGAGCAGAGAGGCCGATGCGGGGCTTGATCCCAGGACCCTGAGATCATGACCTGAGCGGAAGGCAGAGGTTTAACCCACTGAGCCACCCAGGCGCCCCTAGCATAGTGGTTTTGAAGTGAGCCATGTCCAGGATTTCTAATGGCATCAGAAAAATGTAAAGATCGAGAAGTAACCATCTAGAATATTTTATAATCTAGTCCTCCCACCCCCAATGCCCAAGTATGTTTTATTTGGGCATTCAATCTGAGGTCCATTTTGGCTGACTCATTTTCTCTCTCTCAGGTAGTAAAACATTTGGGAATGGTGTCTTGCTCAAGCTCACCTGAAATTAATGTATTTCTCTTTGAAAGATAACCAGAATTTTTTCCTTCTCTTTTTTTGTTTTTTAGCTTTGCCTCCCCGATTGAAAGAGATGAGGAGCCAGGAGTCCGCTGCAGGCTCTAAACTCGTCCTTCGGTGCGAGACCAGCTCCGAATACTCCTCTCTCAAATTCAAATGGTTCAAGAACGGGAACGAATTAAACCGAAAGAACAAACCACAAAACATCAAGATACAAAAAAAGCCAGGGTAAGTGTAATGCATCTAATAGCAGAGGCAGTGTCTAGCCATTGAATGATAGGAAATATAAAGATTATGTACAGCCCCAGTCCATGAATTCACTTATCAAAAAGCTATGATCTCTAATAAATGAAAAAGATTGTTCATTGTACGATGACCAGAAATTGTTGTTTCTGATTGTCACAACTTCTAGATGAGGAAAGAAAAGATTGGATGAGGAGAGAGCTGGAGGTGTAGAGGGAGAAGTTTTGGTGAGAGCTGCTGTAATTGGAATATGTTGCATCTTAAAATTAGATTTTTTTAAAAAAGGCAAATGCTGTTGAGAGTACCAGTGCCTCCCACGGTCAGCACCCCTGCTTCATAAGGAAGTTCAGTAAAATACCCAGATTTATGGGAAGAGAACGCCGTCGCTTGAATTTGAACTATTTTCAAGTAAGAGGTTAATACATCCAGTGATACCCAATGAGATTTTTTTTTAACTGACAATTTTGTGAAACTACGTGACCATGTAGGACATTAAAACATTGGGTGATCTTGGCTTACCAGAATCTTAAATCATCCTGGAGGACCATGATGGATTGGAAGGGCTCCATGTGGTTCCTGTGACATCTTGGACAGGTGTCTGTACCTACCCTAAAATGAGGCTCCTTTATTATTCCCATCCTCTCCATTTTTATGTACTTACTCACCTAAGAAATCCTCTTCTATTATCACACTACACTTTGAAATTAAGGAAGAGATAAGTATGTGAGTGTTTTGGTTGTAAAACAGTCCTTTAATCGATGTGGCATGGATAATAGTACTTCTAGGCTGAAAGATTACATTTTCTTTCCTCGCACTTGGAGGATTCCAGTGAAATCCCAGGGATGATAGCAGAAACAGCAACAAAAGAATCTCCTCCTGTACTTTGATTTTATAGAACACCTACCAAAAAGTTGTCACACACTCACGAGCAAGAGACAGCAAAGTGATTATAATGGAAATTTAACTGAAACTTCCCAATGTGTTTAATTGCTGTAATAACCATAATTACTGAATTTCCCCCCTAGTTTCTGTGGTTTTATTAACTGTGCTGCTTGTTCTTATTACTGATTGTGTCGGCAAGATCTTTTGACTTGGAAGTACTCTAATAAGATGTAGGGGAAAAAAGAGCGGGTATTAATTTCTCCAGCAGGTGGTTCTTCAGAGATACAGAAAATAACACTGCAAAGTGGCATTTTTTTTTTTTTTTTTTTTTTTTTTTTACATAATCTTATTTATTTATTACAACATTCCCCTAGGTAGTAAGGGAAGTTGAACTGTACAGGGGGCCTACTTTTGCATATTAAGAAATTAATATTCAGAAAAGTGTTCTGCCTTGCCTTGAGTCACACAAGTAGTAAGAAACCAAGCTGGAACACAGATCTGTTCCTTGGGTTCCTTAACACTTTATTCCTTCTTCTACAAATGGAAGGCATGCATGTTTAATAGCGTGTGCATATGGGGAGGGGAGTAGAGTGGTAGAGTGAGTGAATAGAAAGAAAGAACTATGATGCTTATAGAGGAGTTTAACAAGAAAAAAAAATACTTTTAGATACTGGATGGAGTAGAGTTTGGTGTCTGTTTTGTTTTTCATCAATTAGACACTTTAGTAAGAAACTAAGTTATCTTCACGTGCAGGAGAATGTCTTGTTTCTTTCCGCACGGCTGTCAAATGGTATCAGTAATATTTAAGCACCCGCAGAAGGCTTTATGCTGGGAGTGTGGGGAAGTGGGAAAAGCATGGGTGTTATCTCTGCCCCCAGGAGGTCATGGATTGTATAGGGATTCTCTGGTTCAGCCTTATCGGAAACATAGTTGTTCCAGGCCATTGCTACAGCCCTCTTAAGGCTAGGGGTGGGGAGGGTGGTGCTTCAGGATTTTCAGGAGGTCCATCGATTTGCAAATAGTGACCATTTAGAAAATTATTATTTATGTTAAGGTAAATTCTACTTGAAGTCAGGATTCAATCAGGGAGATATCCCTAATGTATGCTGTAGCTTATCATACATGTCGTAAAGCCCAGTGCTAAATTGTAGGTTACTAATTCTAAGTGCCATGAGGCTGGGAAGAGGGAGAGACCCAGAGGGCTTCACGAGGAGTCCTGAGGAGGTAGATTTGCGTCTGCTGATGGGGCAGAATCCCCTTTGCCTGGCTGGGTGGGATGAGCCCGGCCATGACAGAGAAAGCGGAATTGTCGTCAGTAGCAAGTTCTGTTTATAGGACAATAAAGAGGTCAGTGGGGGAGTAAGATGTGGAATTCTGCTCTTTATGGGACAAGCTGTTTTGTGTCAGACCTGGACTAGGTGCTGGGTACACAGAGACGAGTGGTCTAGAGGGCAGAGAGATGGCGAACAGTTAGAATACTCAGTCTTAAGCGCTACAGTAGTGACAGACATGGGATGCCATAGCAAGAGGCGAGCACAGGTAGGGGAAGGGGACCCGGTCAGGGACCGAGGAGGCTGCCAAGGAAGAAGGGAGGGAGAAGAGGTTTATCTAGTCTGAAGGAACAGAACAAAGCATCTTCAGACTGGGAGTAGTCAGTCTGAGGATGCCTGGGAAGAAGCAAGGTGGACAGGTATGGAGAAAATGGTTTTGCAAACTGCAGGTATATGCCTGTAGAGGTAATTTGTTACATGGCTTGGATAGACATATATAAAAGTATCATTAGTATTCAGAAAAGCATTTTCATGTTGGCTTCATGGGTCCAGACAGATAAGAGCACTGTCTACATATTAATAAAATCCCATTATACCAGAAAGGCCAATATTCAGAAATTACTTCTTTTAAACAGTAGCCTTGCTGGGAAGAATTAAGTGGGAACAAAAAGATATTTTATGCCACTTATGTGGCTGTAAATTACTCGTGGCAAAACATTTTAACATATCTGATCGTCCAAAAAGAAGACCCTTTGTATAAAGTGAGCCATTAGTGTTGTCATCTGTTTTTTAAGGTTTAAGGACCAAACCGAATCTAAATTTAATTAACATTTGCAAGGTGCCCCTATTATTTCCACTTGTCCTATAAATAATAAGAGAATGGATACCATTATTGTTATACCCATTTTTAAAAAAATGAATGCCCTGAGTGTGAAGGAAGTTCCGTTTCTTGCTATAGATCTAATGTTGATGAATAGTAAAGCTTTTATTTTTATTATTTTTTATTTTTTAAGTTTATTTGACAGACAGAGATCACAAGTAGAGAGGCAGACGGGGGTGGGGGAGGGAAGGAGGCAGGATCCCTGCTGAGCAGAGAGCCCGATGCAGGGCTCGATCCCAGGACCCTGGTATCATGACCCAAGCTGAAGGCAGAGGCTTTAACCCACTGAGCCAACCAGGCGCCCCAGTAAAGCTTTTATTTAAAATAGATCTGACTCTATGCCTCCTGTTTTCCTGTTTATACACAATTACTGGTGATTTTGCTGTGTAGAGTAAAGTACAACACAGGGCTACAGACACCTACAGACATGGGGAAATGTTTTTAATTTTTAAAAACTCTCATTTTTCAGTTTCATCTACATATTCATCATTTTCTATTACTAAGATATTCAAACTGTTAATGGTTTGCAACAGTTGTTTGGTTTCTTAAACTTAATCTGAGGCTTTGATCGACCAAGCAGAGGTGAATTTCATTGTGAAGTTAAAGATTTCCTTGGGATTGTCTTTATTTTAAGAAAAATGTTAACTCTTTTGCCATCCTTAGTCTAGGTTTCTTTTCCACATAGTCTAGATCGTACACAGCAGCCGGAATTTCCTTGTCATCCCTTCGTGTTGCGAAAAGACTCCACACCAATCAGCAATTTCAGTTCACCATTTGCCCCTGTTCCTACTAATAAACTACTTTCTTATATGTTCTTCCTATGACTTTGAATTTATATCTGAGCTTGTGTTTGTTGTATTTGGCAAAGCAGTGTATGGAACCAGTTTTAAAAAATGGAAACTGCCCCAGCGTCTGCTTATCCCTTTGTTCCGCTTCCTCTGCCTGGTGGATCATTTTGAGCAAGAAAACTGGCTAAAGAGCATGGCACGTGACCGATTCAAATTTGAGGCTGTCAGATTGGCCTCAGTTAAATATCTGTTCTATGCTAGCCCTACGAAAGGCTGGCTTCCCATTTTTTTTGTGTATGGCACACTCTTTTGTTGCCCATAGTTCTGTCTCAGCTCTTCCTTTCTGCTCTCACCTATTTTAATTGTGTTTAAAATTGGATCTAATTGGTCTTGTCAAATTTCTACAAAAATCTGAAGGGAGTTCTTGCTTCTGTTGTCCATGATCGCGGGTCCTTTGACTCTCTTCTAGAAAAAGTTCACACACATTCCCTTCTTGCATCAGCTGAGCAGCTCCTACAGGTCATTTTAATTTTATATGTAAGGAAGGTTCCAGTTCCTTCAGCATATAAATGGGACTACTCGGTGCCTATTTCGTATGGCTTATGTGAGGCATTTGGTGCAGTGCCTGGTTCTGTACAATATGGCAGTTGCTCTCCCCCCGTCCCCTGTACCCTTCCTGTTATTGGCAGTTGGACAGTATCTGAAGCTGTGTTGAACACACGCACACACGCTCACACAGACACTCACAGCATTCATATATGATTCCTTAGAGATCGGAGGAATGGATTTATGTAAACTGAGGAGATATTCCCTATATGCAGGGAGTTAAGTTGTCTTGGCCCGTAAACTGTGGTGGATGAATCAAGCCTAAAAAGGCCAAGAAGACAGTAGTTATTGGAACCTTGAATCCATCCGTGAGCACTTATTCAAAGAGTATAGATTGCATTTTGATTTTAAAAAGGAGAAATTTAGAACTTTCATCTTTAAATCAGTCTGTATTAATTTATTTTTACATAGTATTGTTTTTCTTAATCTAAAAGTAATGCGTGCTTATTAAAAAATCCTAAATATGGCAGGAATATAAACGATAATTGTAATGATAGCTAACACTTATTGGGAGCTTACCGGATTCCAAGCATTGTTTTAACTCACTTTACATGAGTTAACTCTTTTAATACTTTTAGAAAATGAAAGTCCACTGAAACATCAGCCCCTTCCAGATTTCTAGAGAACTCATTAATTAAAAAGCAAAAAATTTGTTTGATGGTGATTGGATGGGAATTCAGCACTTTTTCCAAGTTCACTTCCTTCCCGTGGAGAGCATATGGTAGCTGATTGAAGAGAGTACAAGACAGTTGTATCCATACTTGTCAAAGCCCCAGATCATTGCAATGTGTCATTTTCAAGAAAGGTTCGTCTGTTTCTTCTCTTTTCCTACTTCCCACCCTGTACCCTAGGACTCATGGATCAAAGAGTCTTAGAGTTCAGTCTGTCATTGGAGTTCACAGGAGTCCCAGGGATCACCTGGAGCATTGGTTTTCCCATTGTGTCCCTGGAGAATCTTAAGTTTCCGCTGAATTGAAAATGGGCCGCCAACCGCCTCGACCTGAACACTGTTATCTTCTTATGATAGTTTTGAATATGAGGGTCTGATTTAAGCTTTTGTTTTAAAACAGGATTTTTTTTTTTTCAAAACAGTCGAAACCACTGATCTAATTTAATCTTTTCGCTGCATAGAGATATTCTTGACAGGTGGTTATCCAGACTTGAATCTTTCCAAAGGGAAAGGCCCCTCCCCTTTTTTGAATGTTCAAAAACTCTTCTTTATCACTCAAAATATGCCTTCTTTTTCCTGTTAGACATATTTCCATCTTCAAGAGCCACCTCAAATAGTCTTCTTTTCTAGATGGCATCCGTGAAATATATTTAAAGAGTTACCTGTATCTTGTTCATAGTTGGCCTGTCAGTAGGACCTCTGTTTCTTTAACAGAATCTTCTCTAGTGATAAAATTGATAAGCCCTATTCAGTTGTGATCAACCTCTTCTAAAGTCCTCTAGTTATTGATATTTTTCATCAGATGCCACTTCAAGACATAATTAAATATTCTAGACACGATTCAGCCTGGGAGCAGTGTATTCAGACTTTTATCCAATTTGATTTATGCTGTTTTAATATTAATATGGCCAAACAGTGTATAAGTGTCTCTTTTTTTTTTTTCTAGTTTCCTTTTTTAGTAGTCGCTTAAAATGGAATAATGTTAAACACATGGCTAATTGAAATCCTTTTTTCTGTATATATTATTGTCAAGGCACGTCTCTCCAAACCTGCACTTCTGCTACTGATTTTTGAGCTGGAATGTATTTGTTCTGCTTATCTTGATTAAATTGAATCTTGGTCTTTGCCCATTGATGTTCAGTCCTAGAATTCCCGAGGGTGTCCTCTATTGAAAGGATACCTTAGCTACATGTAATGCCTGCCTTAGAAATTCACAGTACATATTTGCATAAAACCCACTAAGAGGTACTGTTGTAAAGAGATCTGTTTAACTTCGTTCAATGCAATATTTATTTGAGCATAGAAAAAACCTTTTCTTATTCTTTTAAGCATAACATTTATTAACATCACTTGGAATAATATTCCAGGAAACACTGTGTAGTTCTGTTAGGAGAATTTTTATTTTAAGAACTGTCCCTTTAAGATTATACTAACTATAAAACTGATTACCATGTTTCTTTTCTTTTTTTATCATGTTTCTTATAGTTTGATCCAATTCAGTGGTTAAAATAGTAATGGCATAGGGTCAAGAAAGAACTCCCCACATTACCATCAGGGACTGTCCCTCAACTTATATAAATAGGAAAGGAGCGTTCTTGGAATGATTATAATCTTGAGGTGTTGTATGTTCTTGGGTTGTTGTGATACCTTAGAATTAGTATTGGGGGCTTAACAAGAAAAGTTACCATTTTGTTATTTTAGTTCACTTTTTCTTCTGTGTTGAAAACCGGGATATTTTTCCTCAAACTGACCTTCTTCATGATTTATCTATCCGTGATTGTTAGTGGTTCCATGGTTGTACATGAAAATTCTTCCAGCTAATTGGGCTGTTTGGGGCTGGACAAGTTTATTGTAGTATTTGTATTGTTTCTGACTGGTCTTCACAGGTGTGTGTCGTGAAGGAAACTTGGCATGCATGGACAGATTTGTATAAATAGCTGATAATCCATTAAGAAAAACACCAGATTTGAATAGTCCAAAACCAGACTTAAACAGTCAACACAACTTAGATGGGGGGGGGGCGGCTAATATCCTAATATTGTACTTTGATCATTTTAAAAGTTTTTGTAGTTTATAATTAGATCTTAATATCAACTTGCCAAGGTGCTTACCCTTTGTAAGCACAGTTCTATCTTGTTTATAGGGATAGACTGCAGCGAAAGTTTTCTGTGGCGAATCCCTCTGATTAATATGTGAATATCCATGCATAAATGGCCCTTGGTGACCTCCCCCCATTAGAGCTAAACAGGCTGTTTTTATATTAGATCCACTTTTTATCAACTTTGTTTTGTGTACCATCATTTTCAGGAAATAGGAGCAGTTATGCTATGTGGATGACAAGGATTCCATCATCAAATAAGTTTGAGAATAACCAAATAATATATTTCCCTCTTAGAGAGTCAACGGATGTTAGCATATTAAAGACTTAAGAATTCCTCAGGATTGACAACAGAAAGCCCGTTTTTGTTTAACCTAATGTCTCCCGAATTTATTTGAGTATAGTACTTTCTTTTGTTTTCTCAAGTTTACTTGTTGACATTGTTCTGAGTCATTAATTTTTCAGTCCACATGCTGGTTTGACTGTTGCTGCCTTGGTCTGGACCTCCTCCGACTGTCTCTGCCCTCTTAATAGAGCATCCTCCTTTCCAGCAGCCAACATTTAGGAACATTAGGTCCTGAAGTGAGCTTAAGTGAGAGCATCCAAATATTTTCTTCATTTTTTCACACATTCATCCAATATCATTTGAAGATGTGCCAAGGACAAAGCAGTGGCATGTCCTCATAGAACTGTGAGCATACCAAGAAGTTTAAATTATAGACTCCCCCCGCTCAGAGTGTATGTCCTACCTGGAAAAATAAGATCTACTTCAAGAACTTTGAGGATCATGGAAGAGGTACTCCAGGCTATCAGAATTTAGACAAAGAAGAGAGCGGCAGCAGCTCTATGATTATGAAAGTTTTGATGAAAGAATTGGCGCTTGAGGTGGTCCTGAAAAGTCAGCCAGTATCTGGAAATATGGGACGCCCCATGCTAGGAGGAAGAAAGGGCACAAGTGAAGGCACCTTGATGGAAAGCCATAAGGCTTACATAGGGGACCAGATGGGTGGTTCCATTCAGTAGACTGGAAGAGAATAGTAGGAGTTGAATTTTTATTAACTAAATTAGAACAACTGATTGAATTTGATTAATAATATATGACAGGAAGACCAGAAAATTCACTATAAAACTAGGAAGGTGTAAATTATGGGAGCTTTGCATAGAATTTTGAGTTGCTGTCTTTGCTTCCTGCCTTCTTTCCTTGTTGTCATCCCAAGAGCCCAGGCAGTCAGGACCAGGAGTGAGTAGACAGAGATGCTTTTAAAAGTCTTCAGTAAACTCAACCAGCCCCAGTGGTTCTGTGTTTTTAAATCGTGGAGACTGCTGAAGTTATTGGCTCTATGCAACAGTAAAACACAGACAGATGCAAATCACAGTCCATGTTGAAAGAGTGTTGACTGCTGATTTAATACGCAGTTTTATGACAGTGTGTGCCGCTGTTTATTTCAATCTTCAGAACGATTTGTGTTCTTCTGTGCTCCTAGCAATGTGAATCTTCTCAAAGATAAATTCCCATTCTTTTGTAATTCCTTTTCATTCAAAATTAACCTAAGTCCTGATGTTACTTTACTGAGAAAGTGTAGAGCATTTTAATCTATTCTAGCCTGCCTAAGTGTCTGTCCTTACCAGATCTGTAAATGATTTTACACTTTTTAAATCTTTCTAGTGGCTGATGCCATTTCAGAAAGGAAGAAAATTTACCAGTTGGTTTGAAAAACAAAACAAAACAAAACTGAGGCATAGTGTGTTTAGTGGTGGTGGTGGTAGAGGAATAAAAAGAATAATTAGAGAAGATGTTCTTTAAATTACTAACCTGGATGATAAAATTAAGGCCGTGTCCATAGTGTCACTTAAATGTGATCTTATCTTTATTCTTGGTTAAATCATACATCTGTGTATTAGTTAAGCTGTGTTTTTAGGTGGTATGTGTGGAGTGGGGAGGGGGAGTTTGCTAAAGAGAAATAGATTTTGATGGTCATTGTATTTCCTTGAAATATACTTATACCACTTTGGTCCTGATCTTACAGGAAGTCAGAACTTCGCATTAACAAGGCATCACTGGCTGATTCTGGAGAATACATGTGCAAAGTGACCAGCAAATTAGGAAATGACAGTGCCTCTGCCAATATCACCATTGTGGATTCAAATGGTAAGAGATACCTGCTACATTCCATTTCTCGGGCTGTGAGAAGAGTAATCAAGAGATGTGGTGAGAGTTGTAATAAACTGGTGTGTTAAATCTCACTGTGAACAAATAAGAAACATGGAAGGAAAACCATAGACTTCAAGTATCTTGGGTGTCTTCCATAAAACACACTTCGATAAGGGTGTGTCTTCTACCCCGGGAGGTGATATAAATCTGAAATATACATAGACTTTTATTTTTTTTAAGAATGTCGATAAGGTCATGAATGGCAGGAATAGGCTGGGCCACTGAAAGAGATTATACTTCCTCTTTAAATTTGTCAGGGAGGGCTGTCAAGTCTTTGGCTCTGTCAGTAACAGAGAGTGTGTGTGTGTGTATATATATATGTGTGTGTATTTATATACAGAATACATTTGTATATGCAGGATATATGTATATTGCATACATATGTATGTACATATGTATATTATATATGAATATATGTAGTGTGTGCATGTTAACAGAGTACGATCCTGACTCAGTCCTAGAAGTTTGAATGTTCTCATATGTGTTTTAAATACAGCTGGCTCTGGGTCGTAGCAGTGAGGCCTATCCATTTTTTGTTAGGCCTATCAGTTCTGAAATTATGAGAGTTTTCGAGGCAAAGCCCTCCCTACTATGTCTGGTCTTCAGCTTCTGCTTTCCTAAGAATGGCGCCGGGGATATTGGTTAAACTAATGAATGACTTGGAGGTAGAAGGTGTCGCTCACCCTCCAGCAACTTCTCGGAGTTGTCCCAAGAAGTGAAAGAACCCGCACTGGTGGATGTCTGCTCGGGATACCAGCTCCTCTGTGATTTGATGGAATCATCTCTAGAAACCTATGATGAGCTAAAGCAGTGAGCGTCTCTGTCTTTTGAAATAATAAAATGTGACTTCAGAATACCCTTTGGTGCTTCTTTTCCCTTTTGCATGATGGCACTTGCCTACTGCCTATGCCAGCCCTGTTGGGTGTTAAAAAGCCAAGCCTAAGAACACTGCTCCCCTCCAGGCAGGAGAGGGGAAGAGAGTGCCCACCACAGAGGCCTGGTCTCTGCAGACCGGAAGGTAAAATGCAGGGCCAGGAAGGGGAGAGCAAAAGTAACTTGAAGGGTCAGCTCCGTAGGAGACTGATGGAGTTGGTGTCTGTTGACTTACTGGGACAGGGAGAAGGGAGTAAGATAAAAATATGGAGCAGGGTTGGGAAAAATCTCAGGTTAATCCCCAGCCTTCTCTGGATTCCCCAGTGAACTTCTCTGTTGTGGGATAATCAGAGTTCCTCCACAGAGAGTAGAGGACAACAGTGGAAAGTAGTTTCCATCACTATTTTTAGGAGCTGTGTTTGTAGTTGAAAATGTAAAAGCCATTTAAAATTTATATGAGTAAATGTAGCATCACTTTACTTTTGCTTCAGCACGGGTTCAGCAATAAGCATGTTGCTGGTGTTATTTTTACCCCATGAGGAATTTTATAGGATGCTAACTTGAAACACATTTAAAAACTAATTTCAGTGGATTATTCTTTTTTCTTTTTTTTTTTTCCCCTATTGTGCTGTGTTTAGTAGCTTATTCTCAGCCTCTCATTGGCTTGCTTCATTGTGTTTCCCTGTGGTAAATGCTATTGAATTATGATTTTGACACTTGGATTAGATTTGTAGAACTATGTATATTATAAATTCGCAGGAAAATACAATTAGAATAAGTGTCATGGTCTCACTGAGTGCTTACAGTACTATTATACTATTCCATGTTTTCTGATTTATAGGATTAAGCAGTGAATTATTTACTACTGTATTATTCCTGGCAAAAGCCCCATAGGGTTTACTTTTTTTTATTAATTCTGGGGTGCTGAGGGATAATATGGCTTTTTGCATTTCTCTCATAGGGGAGACCTCCAACTCATTTTTCCATATTAATTCATTCAAGAACTGGTCTCAAATTCGAATATTTAGTATTGACCTTAGAGAAATGCCAGTCGGGATGTTTTTGATAATCAGTCTTTTTCACCTGACAAGAGTAAAGAGAAGTTCTCACAATATTGTAACGAAGTCATTCTTAAACAACCAGCTAGAATCTTTACAAGATGAGGTCTTGCTGACTTGCATAGAGCACCTGAGGGAGAAAAAAGAATCTCAATTACAATGCAAGGTGGCCTTGTTTTTATTTTCTTCTCAGAACCCTAGGAATAGTTCATCCTTATCCAACCCTCTCATTATATTTAAAAAGAAATGTGAATTTAGCATGTGTCTGAAAATAGACACATTCAGAATCACAAGATACTTAGTAGCTAAGGAGGACTCGGACCCAGATTTCTTGAATTTCTGATCCAGTAGGGCTCTCTTTGTACCTGGCTGTGTGTTTGTGAATGTTTAAGTAGATTCTTTGGTTTGTGAAAGGGAGAAAAAAAAAAACAAACAAAAAACATAAAACAGAAAGAAGGGTGTGAGGCATAAGGAGAGGGGTTCTCTGGGAAGAGCTACAACTCCATTATAACTGGGCATTAAGGAGGAAAATATAGCCCAGGACATGTCTAAAGATTTAAGTAAACAGGAGTTTCTGGATCTTCTCTCTAGTGTCTCTGCCTTTAATGTGCTTCAGATACTTCCTTGAAGCTTCTGTTTCTTTTATCTTCTTACCTCTCCGGCTCTCAAAGTGCTTCTTCATGATTACAAACTTTAACCTGATTATGATCTCAGTTGGCCATTTTTCTTCACGGCTCTTTTAAAGACATTCTTTCCATTTTAACTCCTGTTGTGTGATTGTTTTCTTAGTTCCCAAATCAGGTTCCCCATCGCAAGAATCTGATTGGCAGAACTTACATGCCAGACCATTTCGAAAGACCTGGAGAGTTTACGAAGCATCTGCCTTCTGGTCAGGTGCCCACCATGGCTTCAACTGAGGAGAGTAAAACTGGAAACATGGCCTCCTAGAAGCACCCCTCTCCTCAGAGGCTATGGGCGGTCTGCTTTTCGTCAGAGCCTGTGGCTTGGCAGCCACCACGAGAAACAAGGCCAGTGTGTTCTGCATATTGGGAGACTCTCTTTTCCCCCAGCACCTCAGGGGCTTAGTTGCAGCACAACCAAAAAGAAAATAAATCATCTTCCTGACCCTTCAGCCTCGTCTGCTGCTCTCTTTGAATTTGCTATCAATTCTAGTTATCAAAGAAGGCTCAGCTCAGGTCTGGTGCTCTCTGGGACTCAGGCTGGGACTCAGATACACGAACGTGTGTTGTCACATCCCTGTTTCCTTAGAAATCTGGGCAAACACTGCACAGAAACACTCTTTCAGAGGGAAAAAGAGTACTCTACTGTGGTTATAAACTGCCACATGGCCAAACCTTCTCTCCCTAACTGTGTATTTATTATTGACTTGGGCTGAGAGAGTGGAATTCTCAAGAATTTCATTTCCTTCTAGAGGTCCTAGAAAAAAAGTCTTAAAAATAAGAACATGATGTCAAAACATTATATTGTGTAGAATTCCCCTTGAGATTTTAATTGATAAGTTCTACAAAATATTAGTCATTTTTTTAGTTTTATGTTGTCTCGCTCATCTCTCCCGTATTACACAAATGCATACACAACTGTGGTCTGGTAATCCAAATTTCATCCTGTGGAAAAGATGTTTAGACTATATTTTGGTACCAGATTCTGGGAGGGATGGCATGGGTAAGGGGAAGGAAGATAAGAACAAGAGATTTTCTTTTCTCCCCAGAAAAAAATGAAAAAATGTACCAAGATGGACTTGCTGTTTGACACTATTTTTAATTCCCAAACACAGCTATATAACTATCAGGAAAAAATTAGCTTGGATCATAAAAGTCTTCCATCCAATATTAGGAATTTTCTGCAGTGAAACTCATTGTTTAGAATTGCTTAGATTAGCAACTAGATATAAACAAGGTGATAACAAAAACCCAAGAAATTCTCCTTGAATTGTTACATGCTTGAGTGAAATAATGACCATATTTTCACCATTTTCGACCATTTAGAAAAGAATGTGTGTATATATACACCTCAGGGGCTTAGTTGCCCCTGTGTATATATACACACATTCTTTTCTAAATATATATATTTTCTATATTTTCTAAATATGTATATACACAGACACACAGACACACAGACACACAGACACACACACACAATCACTATGTTAAGCTACATTTTAGAAATTTGTATGTTTTCTGCCCTTTCTAATGCCTCTTAATCCCAATCTTATTTGGAAAAAAGAGTTTGCTGTACAGTAGACGGATAGACACATAAGCAATCTGCTAATTATTTGGGGGACTCTGTGGGTCTAACAAACACCAGATGAGTTTTCACAAAAAGAAGGATCTTGGGCACCTGGGTGGCTCAGTGGGTTAAGCCTCTGCCTTTGGCTCAGGTCATGATCTCGGGGTCCTGGGATCGAGGCCTGTATTGGGCTCTCTGCTTGGCAGAGAGCCTGCTTCCCCCCTCTCTCTGCCTGCCTCTCTGCCTACTTGTGCTCTCTCTCTGTCAAATAAATAAATAAAATCTTTTAAAAAATAAAAAAAGAAGGATCTTACAGACAGCCATCATTACATGAGGGGTAATGGGTGAATTCCTTTGATGAATTCAAATATGCCTCTTTAACAGGCCACATACACCGCCCTTACACAGACTGTGCACCGTATGTTTATTTTTATTTGCATTTCATTTGGTTTGGTCTTTATATAGGAAATCTTAATGTCGCAATTAATTCTTAGCTAAGAAGCTCCATAAAAACTCCTGGGCACAGATTAGGGAAGAGAGTAATAGACTTAACTGGTTTTTGAATTAATTAAGTACTGCAGTCTTTAAAGATTAATACAAGAGAATACACAAACTAATCAGTCATATCCGTGACTAGATTTTCTTTTTTTAATCAGGAGAAAAATTATTTGAGTGAGATTCAAGATCCCATAGGAACATTGGGCTCACAGCAATAAATTTGCTGTTTCCTTTGAGATGAACGAAAAATAATATTTCCACAAAATTTGCCTAATACATCAATTGGTCCTTTAAAAAAATTGGCTCACATGGGTAATAGGCTTTGTTTCGCCCTCTCCCAAATTGATGGCATTGTTGGAAATGCTGTGATATTGGTAAATGAGCTGTAGTTAAACTGACAATCATATAAAACGTTTTGTAATTTAGAAAGCAGTCTCCATGTATGTTGTCTTATATCGTATTCGCATGAAGGCTCATAAGGAAGAACCATATGAGTGGAACGGACTTGTCTTTTCAGCGTATAGTATCCATTCTGACTCTACATCATGTATTAATTTCAAAATTTCTCAGTTGTGAAACTGTCCTTGTAAGCAAGAATGCAGACACTGGAAGACATTCCTTAAGTCCTCTTCACTTGTGCTAACAAATAAGGGGGCCCATTTTCAATCTTTAAAAAGATGATTGGTCATATTTTTTTGCACACAAAATAATAACCCGTAATTTTAGAATAACAAGGAGTCACAGAAGTGGTTGTTGAAATACACACGGACGCATCATATGTATGTTTGTGTCTGTGTATATGTGTCTTTTGCCAAATAGTTATATTCAGTATAGTGTGCTCATGGAGAAATCTCAGACAAGTCATGCATGTATCCTAATGAGAAAAATTCCTTTCCACAAGGTATCATTTTTCAGACACTGCAAATTTTTCTTGAGAGCAGATTCGATTTATTAAAAAGGCCGTCAAACATGGAAAATACACTAATGTTCCTTATGCTTACTTGCCTAATCAGCAGAAGTTGCTCAGCTGTGTTCAGTTCCTGATCATTCTAAATCTTCATTAACTTGCACTAATGAAAGGGATGTCCTTTATAAATTAACCGATTTAATATACCAAATTACTGTAGGAAAACTATGTCACTTAAGTAAACATCAAGAAGATTGCAGGACTTAATTTTTTTCAATCTGTAATTGCAGCAAAATTGTTTTCAATCACTTATAACAAAAGGTAGTTTTGCAAGTCTATGGAGTCTACCCAAAACATGCATTAAAATGGTTGCTGAGTGATTTTAATCAAAAAGATTAATTTTTCTTATTAGCAGGATTCTTTTAGTATAGAAGTATATGACTTCTAACTTGTGTTTCCCCCAAGAAAATTCAGAAGGTTTCTATTTGGAGCCATAATTGTTAAAGATATTTTTAAGGTCTCCAGGGTAAATACCTAATTTTAGGAAGGGAGAGGATTGTTATTATTAATTTTTTTTTTAGGAAGGGAGATTATTTTAAGCTGTCTCTGTGTAGATAGATTTTTATAGTAACCTCCTGTTCTGGTATTTTTATGTAACATTCAATTTAAAAAAGAAACATTATGGTCAACCTTTCCTCTAATCTGAGATCTTTCAAGTTGGAGATAGAAAAGCTCTGTTTTTTGTTTTGTTTTGTTTTTCCCTTGGAAGGTCACAGTGGACAACTACTTGGTTTGTCAAAAATAAACTTGAAACGAGTCTTGATATTCATGCTGGGATTGGGACCTCTGCCCAATTCTTGTGATCCTGAGCTTATGACTTCAGTCTGGCTGTCATGTCATTGATGGGTCCTGAAGGATAGAAAAGGAAACCTCTCTCCTAATGAGGGCACTTGCTTGGAAACATGGATCTTCTTCTAGGTATTCGTAGGGAAAGATAAATGTTGTGGATCTTTGATTAAAATCTTCCTCTCAGATTACATTTTCCCCAGAGAAGGATGATTTCATTTTCTGTAGCCCAAATCAAGGAATTGAGCTGTGGTCGTGTCAGAAACAGACATTGCCATATCATCAACTCAGACTGTCCTCTTTAATGCTTGCTGCATGAACAAACCCAAAGGGTATCGTATACCTTCCCATTCCGATTCCTTTCACTTCTTCCCATTTTTTGTGGGTAGAAGAGGCAGTGTAGGCTGCTTTGGTGGCTTGGTAATAATCTCACACCTTGAATGGTTGGTCTTCCTAGTGTTTGAATAGAGAGGACTATCCATTACTTAATTTTCACAAGAGAGACACATTTGGTCTTACTAAAGATATATTTCTGGTCTTTATATATTCATATCTCACCTGATGCTTATTCTTAAACATCCCTGCTGAGTCTCACATGCTATTTGTTCCCTTCTGAGTCCACAAAACCTTTTATCCCTAGAGAAGTGTTTGAGGTTGAAGGAAACATTGCCCATCAAATTAAGTCTTCTTACCTACTGGACTAGTCCTACCATGGAAACCTGAAATGGTCGTATCTATATTTAAAGATGATTACGTTGATCGTGAACATTTCTAACTCCATGATTAACAAGCTGTTAATTCAAACATGAAATGAGAACATATTTGATTTGCTTAGGATTTTAGTAGGTTCTGGTAACTTCAACTTACCTTTTTGTCCTGGTTAGTGAATAGTGACATATTGTTTTGTTATTTGACAATAATTATACCAACAGTGAAGGTTGAATGATACTCATCATTGCATCACTGCATCTTTCCAGGCTTCCTAAAACCACACCTTACTGAAAATACTGGATTTTAGCAAGTGAAGCCCTTTCCAGAAGGACAGGAAGAAGACAGGGTTGGTTAGACAATGGAATCATCCTTTGTTCCATGATAAAGGCAGTAAACTGAAAACAAGTCAAAGCTTAAACAAGACTGTCCCAATTCCCACCATAATGGTGTGTCCAGCAGGATGTAGTTTCTCCTTCATTCCGTTGGGGTGGGAGCTCCCTATTACTCTGTGCCTTGCCGGGAGTAGCTGAAAACTGTGTCCGATAAGGCACCCGTCTGGATCATCATTGGCAATTTTCTGTAGAGTTCAATGCCAGAACTTGACGTTTTTCACCAATCCCAACAAGAAGCATTGCTTACTTTTGTTTTTGAACAAACGTGTAGTTCTCCAAAGATTGATAACTGAAAAATTCTGACCACAGCATTGATCCTACAGCTCTGATATTTTTTTTACTTCTGCCATCTGCCTTCCTCTCTGAGAAGGAACCCACGGCCTCCTTGCTGTATATTGCCCTTCACCGGCTCCATGGGGGCGGGGAATTCTTCCTATGTACTCCAGCATGGCTCATCTCATGCTCTTTGCCCAGGAAAGAGGAACTACTTATCTGGACAGCCTTTTTTTTTTTTTTTTTTTTTTTTATTGCATTTCTGACATTTGGGGTGGATAGAGCCTGGGCTTTCATCACCCTCTTGCAATACTTTTCTTCCTTGACACACTCTTCTTCAGTTGGAAGGCAGGCTGTGGAAGTGGCTCCCGGCCTCCTGATTATACATCGTAATTTCCTATCACCTTTTCTTTTTACAGACCTCATTACTGGCATGCCAGTCTCCACTGAAAGAGCATATGTGCCTTCAGGTAAGGAAAAGAAGCTCACCTCATTTCACTAACCAGAACCACAGACCTAACGAGTGCTGGCTGCACCTGCTACTAATCAGACCCCCTTCTGCATCCAAATTGTAGCTGTTCTTGTTTTCTGCTGCAGTATGTCCTCCAATTCCTTTTGCCTCTTGGGGTTTTCCATAAAGGAGTACAGTTCTTGCCGTATGTCTGAAGCTGGGCCTGGGAGGCATGCATGGGAAAAAGAAATGTCTTGATACAACTTAGTGACATTAGACCAGGAAAGAAGACATCTGGGTTATACATTCAGTTTTTTACAACCTTTCTAGGTGCTTCTCTCAGCTGCCTCTGTTCCTTTCAACCCACCGTAGTTCATTCCTGGGTAATGTGTCCGTGTCCAATCTCTGACCTCTGGGCTCCTAACGAGCAGCTGTGGGTCACTGAACTTAGAGAAAAGACTGTTGTATGCCTGAATTTTTCAGATGTTGATGCATTGCTTTTTGGTTTGTTTTGTTTGTTTCTTCCTTGCCTGTAATGTTTGCTGGTCGCACTTACAGTCTGAGCAGATATTAGCTACTTCTAACCCAGCTCTAGTAATGTGTATATAACCATAATTCATTCATTTCTCCATTTGCTGTGAATCTAATTAATCTGCTGTGAATTTTTTTCTTTTCTTTTCGCTCTTTTTTTTTCTTTTTACTTTTCTTATCCTCTGTCATTCTTTAGTTAACAGGGCCTTAGAATATTTAAAAATTCATATTTAATGAGAAGCAAGTTTTTAGAGTCTTAGATTCAAAACTCACTTCAGAAGTATGATGGTAACTTGTTTCTGCATGACACCTCATGGTTTACAAAGACATTTACATCTCATTTCGTGTTCACAATGGATGTGTGAAACAAGACATTATTTTTCTTCATCATACAGATGAGAGACTTAAGCATTAGAAATATTAAGTCATGTGTCTCATCAAGTAGGAGAGCAGGTCCTTCCAGCTAGCTCAGTATTCCTTCTCATTACCCTGTATTTAATATTTTAGTGTCATTGATTTCCTTCATATGGCCTGTACCTTGTTGGAAAGTTGGAGGAGGCCATATGATCAAACACAGCTTTTTTTTTTTTTTTTTTTTTTTAACTTCTCTTCACCAGTTTCTCCTCTTCCCTTCAAAGCCATTGTTCAAGATCATAAAAGTTAAATCTCTCTGTATCCCAGATGGCTTTGACCATGTTTAGGGCATATCCACGTGTTGTTCCTAAGATGGACATCTGTGCGTTACAGGGTGGGATGATCCCAGAGTCTAAGAGGGTTGTACTTCTCTGAGGAACAAAGAAAGCAAGAGAGAAGGGAGGGAGACAGGGAGGGAGGGGAGAAAAGATAAAGGTAAAAAGAACAACAAAAACAAAACAACAAAATTGTTAAATTATCTGAGTTTTCTTCCCCTTTCACTCAGGCATTTCTTTCTTATGAAGGGCTTCACTACCTGACTCCACAGACATTGTTAGGAAGCTGGGTTTTTTAGATTATGTGATGCTTCTCTTGGGAATTGGGAGTGACTCTCACTAGTATTTTCCGATCTATGACTTGAATCTTTATAGCTTTCTGGCTGCTGACTTTCAATCCCTCTTTGATACTAACTTGTTCTTCTTTGTGACTAATAAAAACCCTTGGGTCCCATGCTTTTTTTTTGCATGAGTTGTGTTTTATGCTCTGTCTGTATTTAAATACTAGCTTTCCTTCCTTTGTACTGGCTCCCTAAGAGAATCTTGCCCCTGTACGTCTCCAGTGATCGTATTACGAGTTTATTGAGCATGTTTTGGTTGATCCTACTGTATCATGCCAGCGGATCTTGCATGGACTTTCTTCAGCACTGTGTTTGCTCAGGGTGTCTACGCAGACCATGTTGCCTGAGAACAGATTCATTCTTCTTCTTTTTTTTTTTCCCTTTGCTCATGAAAGTTGACTTTCATTCTCTCTGAATATGGGGATTGTTCTCTTTGGTTTCATGTTTCTGAAAATCAGGACCACACTTGAGAGAAGGAATGGGCCATCTCACCTGTCCTGTGGCTCTGTTCAGAGTCATGTTGAGTCATGTTTCTAGGAAGTTCGTACACCAGTTGGTATGTGGGGTTTCTCTGCAGGTGGACTAATTTCCATGTTCATCCCTTGGGTTTAGACTATGGATAGAGTCCTCCGTGGTCTTTGAATTTTGCATACATCTTCCTCTGACTTAAAAATGCTTCAGCTTTTCCGTTGCACTGTTTCCTAGTCCTCTTTTTCCAGATGATCCCTGAGCCTGGCACATTTCTGATGTTAAAAATGCAAGCAGCCTGACTCAATAAAGCCTCATTTCACTTCTTTGTTTTATAGAGTCTCCCATTAGAATATCAGTATCAACAGAAGGAGCAAATACTTCTTCATGTAAGTATATTTGAATATTCCATTCACTAGTTTTGAACCCAAGACAGTATCTGCCTCTGGAGGTGGTGTTCCTGTCTCTCCTCTACCCTTGCTGAGGAACCAACCATACATCAAGTTTGGGAGCAGGCTGGTATTTGCTGCATGGAAGGAAATGGCCCCGTACTGTGCTTGCGGTGGGGGTAAGGGGATTAGATATCCCCTCCCCCTAAGATACACATGGACATTGGAAAACACTGCATATGGGGTGGCGTTATACTGTAGTGTCTTTGAATGTTGAAAAATGACTGCAGAGCCTCTGAGGCCTGGTTCTGGGTGAACAATAGAGAACATCGTTGTTTTTAGTGTGTCTTGTTGCCTTTAGCAATTGCTTGAGGCCTGATACCCAGCTGTTTGGGGCCTATTCTAAAGCTCCCCAGTTCTCATACAGAGTCTGCTGTGATAGAGTAAGGAAACTATATATAGATGCCCTTAATTCAAATTTGATAGCAAGTGACTAATTATGAAAATGTTTGAAAGCAAGTCCCTAGGCAAGATCTCAGATTAGTTTTCATCTGTTTAATGTGAAATGTGCTTTGTGCTTGTGGAGTTCTACAACTGTTAGATTGATTGGTGCTTTGTGCCATATCGGGGGAACTTAAGAAATTAGCAAGGACTAGTAAAAATAGTTTTGATACTTATGAATTGTGAATAGCGTTGAATTAAATTTTGATATCCAGCAGGGGAATTTATCAGACCTTGAAAATAAAACCTATAATTACAGTCTTCTTCTCCCTTATTTTAGCTCTTTATTTAACGCTATTTCTCAGTTTGAGAAGCTCTTCCATAAGTAGATATTCCCGATTATTCTGTTCCAACCCGGGGAGCATGTTGAGGGCACAATTTCCTTTGGCTATCAGTGTGGTAGGAAACACTGGCAGGAAGGTCTGTATTTTAAGCCACTTCAGTTGTTTTGTCCATCTGTTTAAATACATCCAGTTTGAATCTAAAGCCTTTCCCTTCGGGTTAGTACCAGGACTGTAACGATATGATGTAAACGTATTTTTTATTGCATGAAGTATGATGTTTTGACTACATTTTAGCTAGATAAAGCATCATTTAACTAGATTGATGGAAGCAATCTAGCGAGATCAAACAGGAAATAAGATGCCAGAGAGGACTACATTGGCTTCTTCTGTATTCTAAAGATACTCATTACATAGTCTAAAACGATAATCCCTTCTGGGGAGCTTGGGATATTTGTTACTTAATTCTACTTATAAAAAGATTAGTATAATTATATAGATTTTAACTAACTCACATTAAGGAATCATGTTGAGCTTTGTTTTAGATTTTTGAGTGTTTATTATACAAGGGCAAATACTAGATTTTTCTTTTTGGCATTTTGTCTGGGAACAGTTTCTCCCCTGCATGATTCATTGAATAAAGTTATTGAAACTCTTGTAATTGGAACCCTCCTGCTATCATTAACGGGGCGATGGATGCGATCCTTAAGCATATGCGAGTAGTTTTGGAATAGAAGAAATACTTCTTTGGGTTTTCCAGAGCTTCAGGGAACTGAAATGAATCTCTCAGTTTACATTTGTATTCATTGCAATTCTGTTGAGAGAGAAATAATTTTGAAATCTGACTCTGATCTCTAACTCTCGGCAGAGTTAGTTCCTGATATTTGGTAAAGGTTTTAGACTAAAAAAGAAGGCTTTGTATTTTAATATCATATAAAAATATTTCAGTGAGCCATTTTCATACATTCCCCCCCTTCCCTGTTCAGGCTGGGCTCTCAGGAAACACTGTGGAATTGATTCAAGCACACATTTTCTTAATCTCATGAAAATACACTCTGTAATTTGAAAGTAGAACTGGGAGTGACCAGATCCTGAGTCCAGTCTTGGTGAGAGCAGTGAGAGCAGCATGAGGCACTCAACTCTTCTAGAGGGAGCATTTGCAGAGCTCCGCAGTGCAGGGTCCGTGACGTCAATAGAGCTCCATGTAGCAAAGGCCGAAGGGGAAACTTGAGGCAGCAGAAATAGCCATAAGCGGGACTTACACATTCAAGTCATCTATAACAGTCGAAGGCCTTGGGAAAGTCCACACGGGTCAGAAATAATCAGCGCCGAAGAATAGGTTCCTTTTTGCTTTGTTTCCACCAGAAAGGAGACACCGGTAAATCCCCGTGTGGGAGAAGCGAACCCTGCTCTTACAATGCAGTCACGTCTCTGTGGGCGACATTCTTGGAACTCTGGGCACTGTCGTTTGCTGTGTACATTTTGCAGAGCCTGTCAATGGATTCGGCAAACCTGTTGTGTATTGGGATGAGTGCGTGTGCTCTCGGGGGTCAGGCGATCCTGTTACTTTTCCCTTTTTTAGGCAGAAGAGGCGCACCTGTGTGCAAAAGCAGCCCCTAACAGCCCCAGTCCTGTTGATGAGAGCAGCTCACTGCTGAGTAAACCCTGAGGGGGTTCAGCCCTGTCAGTTTATGCCCTTGACCCTGTGCCCGGAAGGATTTATGCCCTATAACCCGAAGGATGCCAAGTCTGTCCTTTGTCCCTGCATCCCGCTTCTCCCCAGAGCCTCCCCTGACCACTCCCACCCTCTAAGTTCTACTTTAGCCCTCTGTATCTCCTGTTGGGATAGAGAAAAAAACAAAAAGAAGAGAATAAGTATTGCCCACCTACCTATCTGAAATACTCCTGCTAATATTTTAATATACATTCTTCTTATCAGTGTTTTTCATTCTGGGTTTCTGTTCATCCACTCTCCCTCAGTCTACTTAATGTATCAGATGCATTTTTCTCGTGTTACCAAATACGAATCAGAAGTATTTTAAAATAGTTTTCTGAAATCTTAAACTTTTAAATAATTCTTTAAAACTCATTGTAACAATAAAGCAGTTGTTCTTGACTAGAGGTTTTAAGGGATTTATGTTTCATTTACAAATACCTTATCATTTATTTCCCCTTTGTATTATTATTCCTGACATTTCATGCATATTGATGAAATGCCAAAGGTACTGATCCTTCCCTTTGGAAGGAAAATTTTCGCTATTTCTTTTTTGAAACTGGGATTGAACTTTGCATTGTACACTCACTATTTTTAGAGTTGCTAATTTATGAAATGTTCAAGATGTTTCCTATAATGATCTCCTGGTAAAGGTGAACATTATTTGCCTTTATTTTATTTACTTTGTTTTGGTAAATGAGGCATCTGTAACTTGAAACATGTAATTTGCTAGATGAGTGTCCTGTTACACGTAAGTGCTATTGTAAAAGGAGAAGAACGTGAACTTTACAAAACGGTTAGTAGGACTCTCTTGTTCCTCCTTTATGTAGGATCAGCAAAAAAGTAAAAGAATTGCTTAGAACAAACCATAATGACTTCCCTCTGAAGTGCCAGCTGCCCATGACCCTATTTTGCCTATGATTTTATTGAATGCTATAAAAAGGTACAATTGTTAATACCAGTCACTTTACTGAATTAAGAACCATCCATTCCAATTTAATGTATAAAAGAGAGAAACAAAAATGAAGTCTAATGAATAGTAATTAGAAAAAAATAAAGATAAGTTTCTGGAAAACAGTCTTAAATAGTTGTAAGTGTTCGTAATAATAATAATAATAATAATAATGGCAAACATCTGTTGAAGTCTTTCTGTGTGCCCGGCACTGTGTTAGGTGATTTGTATGGAGACCCATAATGGTTCTCATAAAACCTTAATCCATTCTTCAGATGTTAAGGCTGATAAATTTTATCGGAAGTCACAGAAGCAGAATTCAAACCCAGGCAATCCACTAGCTTGCTATGCATGATATGTGAGAGTTTTTTTGCCTCAAAGAAAAAGCCTTTAATATTAAAAGGAATGAGATCCTGTGAATGGACTGGAAAGTAATCTTTGACACAAAGTGGATTGGAGGTGTGGATGGTAGCTTAGGGAAATGCATGACCTGGGACCAGCTGAGCCCATGTGATCTGTGTGTTACGCACATCAAAGCATGCCGAGCAGTGAGGTAAAATGGACAGCATGCACACCTTGCGTGGACACATGCTCGCAAGTTAAATACCAATGATCTAATTACTGGGTAATCTTAGGCAAATGGTCTAACCTCCCTGAGACTCAGTTTCAAGGTCCGTATAATCCTGTTTATCTCAAATCTACATTGGAAGCCTAATGTGGGAAAATTCATGTGAATCATTTAGCACAACTTTGCTTTTAGGTGGTCTCCCCTATCTGTGGGAGAGATAAAAACGAAAACCTGATGTAGCTCTGAAGAGACAAAGGTCATCAGAGGAGGCCTTGCATCTCATTTGAACAATATAGGAAAATATCTTTATTTTTGGAGGAGGAAGGGAGTTAATTATTTGCATTCCAGATGATGCTGCTGAAAGTTCCAAGCCAAGAAATCACTGTGCCTCTTCAAAATATGATATATTCTCAGCTAAGAGGGCATTTCAAAGGAACTTATCCAGGAAGTCCTCTTTGAAATCTCTGAATGAAATGGACGATGCAGTCTTTAATTTGGCACCTAAAAGAGCTGGCTGAAGGGGAAAATGTCTTTTGTCTGCAGGACATTTCTGTTATAATGAGATACAGCATTTTCACTTGGGACTAGCACAGTGATCAGTATTGATTAGATTTGACCACGTCCGCTGGTCCCTTGGTGAGAGATTTAAAGCTCTGATTCTTACATTCTGCCTTCAGCTGCAACTGACTTACCTGCTTTAATGGTAGAGGAAACTGCCTGGACCTTTGCTAAATGATTTCTCTGCTGGAAAAAATGGCATTTCAATTTCAGGTCTTTATTGGTGGCAAAATACGAAGTCCGTCCTGTCACCGTTGGAGAGCGACTTCTAACTGAATGCAAATTGTGTTTCCACATTTCTATAAACATGGCATTTTCTGGGGTGTGGTGGCGCTGTCTGTTGTGGAGAAGGACAAATTCCCAAGCATCATAGAGCAATAAGAGAATAATTTTAAAAGGAAATTGCCCAACTAGTATTACTGCCAT